TATGAGAAAAGCAAAAAATGGAAACAAAGTCTTTGTAAATAGGGAAGGGTGGAGGGGGTGAAGGGAGGGCAGGGGAATGGGGAAAAAATAAGAACGATGATACATCATGTACAGGTACAAGTTCCCAATGATGAATGTAACTGTATTGTGTACCTAAAATGTACCAGTGAACTTGATGAAAAAAAAAAAAGAGTAACGTGAATCTCTACATGCACCATAAAGAAGTGAGAAACAGGACAGGAAGGGTTAGTGAGCTCTTAGATGTGTTAACGGGAACGCTTTCCCTTTCCCTAGTCACCGCTTAATATGATACAGTCAAGACGTTGGCCTTGTGCTCACAGAAACCTCACTGAATCCAAGCACAGCCTTACCTCTAGGTCCTGGGCTCTTTGGGGAGAGGCTCAACCCCCAAATACATGTTGCTTTCAAATGCTAAAGAGCGAAGATCAAAGTAGTATTTGGCATACACACCGCGAGACACATCAACATTATTCTTGAGCAGGATCAAGTAATGACTTTCCAACTCATTTCTGGGGAGGAAAAACAGCAAAACAAATACAGGACAATTTTAGTCAAGTGGGCCATGTTAAAAAATGTCATTTTGAGCTTCTAGGACTGCTGTAAATTCTGTTTTGAGACCTAGGAAGGCTACCCAACTGGAAGAAAACACTCATGTTCCAACAAGGCACAACTATTTTCTGCATGTGGATGCTTTCTGTACCCCAACACTTCTGTGTTTGGGTGGAGGGGAAAGGTTATGCCCTGCCCATTCCCACCTGCTGTGGGCTCTCGGCCTGTTCTTCAGAGTCCATCAACGCACCTGTGTGACTCACACTCCACACGTACTCACGAGGCCCCACTACAGTGAGCAAAAAAGCAGTGATGTGTGCCGTTTCGTAGCTCTGAAGAACTTGCAGGCATCTTCAAGGGGCTCCTGAGAGGAAGGACTTAAGAGAAGTAGTGAGGCACCAACCAAAGAACCACCACTCCTCTCTCTGAAGGGAAAACTCTTCAGGCGACAAGCACTCATCAGAAAGAAAGAAAAAGCCAAACTGCACTGTGCGGGAAAGGCAAACCCCTCCCTGTGGCAGCAGATGAGGCCCTGTCAAAGGGCACCTTCCTATTACTCAGGTGACAAACTGTGACGGTGACAATTTATTCTAAACTTGGGAAGACAGAATGGTTCTGGCTGGAGTAGAACCACTGTGGCACAGGACCTCTGGCAGAGCACTGGACTCGCAGTCTCACCTCTGAGCAGTCCTCTGCTGCAGGGCCATGTAGCTGCCTGCGCACACTCAATACACAGAAAGCGAGAGCCCATCAGACCGACTGCTATACACAGCCCCTCTCCTAGCCAGGGGGAGCATGGTGATCTGGAACCTTTCCTGGTGTACCCCCTGGTTAGTCCAAGGACACGCATTCAGATGAAAACCTGACAATGTGTGGCTCAGGCGGAAGCTGTACTCAACAGTTCACTGGCCCTACGACCTTAACAGAGGCCAAACAAAAGCCAGGCACAACAGCCCTTACAGAAGGGACTGGGCCCAGCAACTTTTAAAAAGCCATGAAGAATGCCCTGTTCTCTGCTATTCCGGTGGTAAGCTTGTAAGATGTCTGGCAAAACCACCAGAAAAATTTCTACTTACCAAGCATATCATTTAAATAATACTCTACGAAAACCTAGCAATTAATGATGGAAAATATGAATATTTATACTGTAGCTGGACAGAAAGTAATCATTTTGTGCCTATTTCCATTTTCTGCATCGAGTGATATTTAAAAATATTTCTTAAAATGCAAACCTTATAGGAGCAAGTAAACTGGGAAATGGCTAGATAGCCCAATGAAGCCTTATACACTCACCTGTCCTTGAGCAAAACATCCCCGATGATGCTGCAGAAGTCTATGTTCCACCCAGCCTGGTCCTGCCAAACCTTGATGGCAAGAAGAATGGCTCCCAGCAGGATCCTTCTCCAGTTAGCAGGACAGACGTCTATCTCAGCGTATGACACAAGCCTTTCTAAGTAGACCTGCAAAGAGGAGAACACTGCTCGGCGATTTCAGCTCTGTGTAAGTGCTGTGCTAAGACAGATTACTGTGGTCAGGGATTTAGCTCAGTGGTGCTGCCGCCTGCCTCGCAAGCACAGAGTTCCGAGTTCAATCCCTGGTACCAAAATAAAAAAGACTACTGTGAATGACTGGTTCCTTCTGTGTCTGAACAGAGGGGAAGTCCCTCCTACTTCTGGGTGCTATAGAGATTCTGTTCACAGATGGAAATCAGACACCTCTGCTGCTCATGTATTTCCTGTCTAACTTTGGTGACAGGATGACTGGACAGCTCAGCCAAGGTCGTCCAGCAGCGTGGCACTGTTATCACACTCATGGAGGCCACAGAGACAGGCCTGGTGTAAAGCTGTTCAATAAATGCTGAGCTTCTCCAACATGCACTGTAGCATTCCCAGCCGGTAGTTTCAGAATGGTTTTAGACAGGTCATGGTCAAACGTAATGCCCGACTCAGAGAGGACACATTTTTATCTTCTCTTCACAGTACGAACCCTTTTGTGGCACTATCTGGTGGACAGGACTGCCTCCCAGTGACAGCTGAGCAGAGCACCACGGCAGGTGCAGGACTTCAAGCTGTAGTTTCCTCAAACTCAGGGCCTTTATAAAGAACCCATGTGTAAACAGGACGGTCCTTCTTGGTGCCTCTGTTTTCCCATCCCCACTCCTCATGAAAACCCATTCTCCCTCCTACATAGTCAGAACCTCAGTCCATCCTGCTGGCTTCATGACAGGAAGAACAGAGCTGCCAGTCTATCCCTGGGACTCCTAAACTTCCACGCAGTTGGTGAGACAACCTCACATACTCTTTACATACATCAAATATCTATTCCACAAAGAAATGGGTAAGCTACCTGCTGAGTAAAGACTGTAGAGGGAGCTGTGATTTGCTGTTACTTCAATCTGAGCGAGAGAAAAGTCTGCAGATGCTCAAGTCCCTCACATAAAATCGTTTACGATTTGCACATAATCTACCCACCCCCTCCCAGACCGTAAAGCAGTTCTAGGCTACTTACAACACAAACTTCAATGTAAATGGCAGGTAAAGGAAGTTATACTATACTGTCGTGCACAAAAGGACAAAAAAGAACATAAATTTTCCCTAAATGGTAGAAACTGTAGATGTAGAGCTCACAGACATGACAAGGCAGACTGGATATGCTATTTGAACTCTTTGTATCAAAACAAAAAGGAAAGGCTTTATAAATCTTATAAATTATTTATCGTAAATGATAAACTCTCACCTTCAGAATTCTGTATGGGTAACACAAAGCTCCTCAGCTCCTCAGGCTAACAAAGCTTTTCTAAGAACTGCTGGACTGCCATCCTGGGCAGCATCGCGAGAAGACAGCAGCACTCAGCAGGGATGGACTGACGCCCATTACCAGGGAACAGAGAGCTGAAGGCAGTGAAGTGTCTGGGGACACAGCCTGGGACCTGGCTTGACCCGCACAGAACCAGTCTCTGTGGCTCACGGGGCCCTGTTCCTGCTCTCCTTCCCACCCCACAGCACGTGTAAGGGCTCACGGTGTTAAGTGAGCATGTGCACTGAGGTACGGGGCAAAACTCTCCAACTGCCTTTAACTGATTTGTGGTAAGAAAAGTGAAGACATCATTTTAAATGATAATGATTATGGGACCCAAGTATGCTTATTTGCTTTCCTCTGATAGGCTTCTCTTAATAAAGTTCTCATGATAATTTCAGGAGTTTAATTTGAAAAAAAAGACCTTGCTCTGTGTACAAGACCAGTTTCTAAGCATCCTTGATAAATAAGTAACATCTTACCAGAGTTATTATTGCGCATTCAGTTGGTAACACTGCAACATAAAAAATAAAGGCAACAAAGCTGTAAATACAGCTGGGTTCAGGATCATGCTCAAAGTATTCCTCTGGACGCTTCTTTCTCTGAAAGGAGAAATGATGCAATGTGAGAATCCCCTGAAGAAAGCTTTTAAGTACTCTTAAGACAGCAGTCTTCACCTCTCGCCCCTGTGTTCCGTAAGTAATTTCAGTTGCGTTGTATGTCTTTTCACCTTCAACTAGAAACACTGGAACCTTTTACTATGCATAATGACACTGTGGTGAGTGAAGACCACAGTGGCTCCATGAGTGACCACCTTGTGTGCCACCACCACTTCACTCTCCGTGAGGGCTGCACAAGGTGGAGTCGCTGTCAACCCATCTCTCGGGACGTGCTGCACTGGTGAGCCACACACAAGGCCACAGGCTCAGAAAATCAATACCCCTTGCTACTTTTGCCTCCACAAATTCATCTCTAGCCTGAAAGTCTTTTTGATTATATGCTGTATTCTTTGTAATAAAGTCTAAAATGATATAACTAGTGTCCTGCAACCACAGCCTCTAGGGATGCAGTCACATACAACAGTCAGCAGCCATGTGACTAATATGCCTGAGGAAGTGACTTTTAACATTTTTATGTCATTTTTAACCTAATTCTCTCCATAGGGATTTCACATGTTATGAGATTTATTAACTAATGTTTGTATTTGTTGGATGCTACTGAA